CAGCCAGTTGCTGCAATGGAGGCTTACACAAGTTTTAGAAGATCAACATGAGTATCAGAGTTACTGTGGCCGGAAATGGATTAGGGAGGGGCACACTCATTGACAATCTTTTAAGCAAATGAGAGGTTAATTGAACTATTAATGTATGGTCCTCCTACCCTCCAGAAATCAGAGATTAATGCAGAAACACAGATAAATAATCATAATTCAATATGTCAAATTCTGTAATAAAAAAATAAACCATCTATTAATACATACAGAGGAAGAAGCAAGTAGTTTGGCTCAGGCTACTATCCCTTTTAGCTGTGAAATTGATTAATATAAAATAAATGTGGAGGAAATTAGCTAAGGTATATAGTTTTAAAATAATAAATGATATGACTGTTTATTGAAGGTTATATGCTAGACATTGTGCTAGGTATAACTCAGTGCTACACAAGATACTTCTTCCAACTTAAGATGTTAGGAGGGAAGCCAACACAAAAGAAACTTAAATTTGTCAAGAATTTAAAGCCAGAGAACCAGACGTTTTTGTCCTAGAACCTCCACCTACTAGCTGTGAACACAGAAAATCCCTTGACCTCTCAAACTCATTTTCCTAGTGTGCAAAATGGAATAATACATATGAGAGAGTGGTGTAGTGGACAAGATTCGAATAAAATAAGGGTTTGTGAAAGTGCATTGTGGGCTGCTAAGGACTCTGCACATGTTACTGATCATCAAAATTAAGAAAGAGGGAATTGTTTGTGTTTAACTGAAATAAGAGAAGGCAATGATTTCCACATACAGTGACTCATCTATCCTCAGGGCTTCAAGGCCATGTATTCACTAATGACTCCCAATCTCTTCTTCCTAATTAGTATCCTTTTTTTTCAACTGATGATCAATAACAACTGCCTTTTAGACTTCTCCACTTGGCCTTCTTCCCAGCACTTCATACTTGCCATGGGAAAAATTTAACTTCTTCCTCTCCTGCCTCTCTTCTTATTCCAAATTTCCCATCATGGTAAACCGTTCCCAAACCAGAACCCTGTCCTCTCTCAGCTCCCCATTCATTGGTCATTGGTCATCAAGTTCTGCAAAGTTCTTAAGGTATCCCCATATTCTATCCACTGCTTCTTTCTGACATCATCATCTCTCCTTGAGCTACTGCAATAGGTTCTTCAGTGGTATCACTGTGCCACTGAGATTCTACACTCTTCCCCATCCACCCATCCACTCTCCTGTGGCCTGGGTTATCCTTCCTGAATGAAAACTTGACCAAATCACTCATATTCTTAAAAGACTTCAGTGATTCCTTATGGCCTACTGAATATTTCAAGTCTACAAGGTGAAAGTAAAAGTGAAGGTCGCTCAGTCGTGTCTGACTCTTTGCGACCCCATGGACTGTATGGAATTCTCCAGGCCAGCTTACTGGAGTGGGTAGCCTTTCCTTTCTCCAGGGGATCTTCCCAACCCAGGGATCGAACCCAGACTTCCTGCATTGTGGGCAGATTCTTTACCAGCTGGCCCACAAGGGAAGCCCCAAGCCTCCAAGGAGAACCACAATAATCTTCATAACATGGACCCTGCCTCCCTTTTGTCTCAGTTTACCAGTTCCTTATTCACCAAGCTACTTATGTTGAACTACTTATTTCTCTTCTCTGCACTTCTTCTACTGGCCCCAAACTCTCTCTTCTCTTTGTTTGCCAGTCATTCTTATTTAAATCCAGGCTTACCTCAAATATTACTTCCAAGAAGGAATTCTTGGAATTCTTATGTACTTCCCTATACATGCATCTAAGCATGGACTAGCTCTTGCTTTTCTCCATGCTCCAACATCTAGCCTAGTAAAATGTGTTCTCATGCTTTGTAGCATTTAAAACAGAAGTTTTATAAGCATAGCTCAGATTTCATCAATTTAGGACTAAAATAAGGATATGCTCTGATTTTGTTGTTGCAGTTATTGTTATTGCTTGTTTCGTTTTTTTTTTAAACTCAAACCCAGGTCTTATGAAATCTCATTAGTTCTGTGGACTCCTACCTAGTGGCCCCCCATGATTTGTGGAAATTCCCCAGTAGTACCTCTCATGTGTCCATAGAGAAATGTAATTTCGCCATGTAACTCTCCTCCCCTGGACCCCACTCACCTCAGTGTACTGTCTGGGGCTAAACTCCAGTTAAAGAATACACCAGCCCTCAGAAAAACCCTCTAATGTTTACAGAGAGCAATGAACACAATTCGTTGTCATGATTCTGTTTATATGTTTACTTAGGAAGGTGATCCTTTATTAGCTCTTATCTTGGAGGCTGGGGCCAGTGTAGGAGCATGGCTGATGGTGCAGAAACCAAGGCTACTTTGGCACTTCTAGCACATTATTAGCTACTGAATGTACTGATGACTTCAGAGGAGGCAGAAGACACATGTAGAAACAAAAGATTATTGGCCCCGACAGCAGAAATATACAAGTAACCCAGATTACTCACACTAAGCTAATTGTTGTGCTATGGTGCATACATTAGTTTTAATTTTGTCACTTGTGTAGACAGACAGAGTTATGCTGGCCAACTATTTACTTGAATTTCAAAGGAGAATGGATCTACCTCTTGTTTTCTGAATGGGTGCCATAAGTTGTTATCTGAGAACTGCTGGCATTATTCTTAATTTGCCTCTTAGGCCTAACAACAGCATTGGGGAGACTGAAGTTAGACACTAAGAAATATGCTTACTGGCAACACTGGAGAAATCTTTATCTCTATCACTGTTAAAATTTTTCAAAAATTCTCATCTGTCTGAGACAGATTAATGACTTTTCATCCAAGATTAGTGGCTATGATACTTTTGAACATCTCCTCTGGCATTGGGACTTTATGATATTCTAGAAGCTATCTTTTCATCCATTCCTCTGTCCATCTACCTATCCATCCATCCATCCATCCACCTACCCACCCATCATTTATTGAATAGTCACCAAGTTTAAGGACTTGCACTTTTCAATAGGGGAATGAAAATATGGACAAAATACACATGCCCTCAAGAAACTTGCAGCCTACTGGTGGGAAACAGACATATAAACAGAACTAGACATATAGGAGGAGGATTTAGCCAGGTTACTAGGTGGGAGGAGGCATAGAAATGTATGAACACAGTTATCAGAATAGGAAAATGCAATTCATTCCCACTGTTTCATAGCTGGACCAATGATCCACATCGTGGAGCTGAGTTTGGAGGTATTTGTGAAGATCAGTGGATGGAGACTTTAGTTTGACTTCGGGGCAAGTTCTATGAGTAAGCCACTTAGTTTTCTCCTCAAGAGAGAAGCTTCTGCAACAAGAATTAGCTAGCTGACAGCCTCCAGCTGCCACACTTTGGGGTTCACACTGAGACCTCTTCTTCCAGAGATTCTCCCAGGCAGAGTCTGAGCATGGCAGGGTTATAGGAGCGGGGACATTTCTGTCCAACACAGGGCTTCCAAAGGCCAGTCTTCGCTCTCAGGCTCCCCGGTGGCCTGGCCATGACTTTCTCAGAGCTACCCTGGAGACTTCAGCACTTCCTTCTCAGTCCTCCTTTCTCCCCTTCCCCTTACACAGGTGTCAGATCAGCACAACAGTCTGATGCTCTCAGCCCAAACTACTGTCTCTTCCTCTCATCCCCCACAGGTACTTTCTTCTACCAATCTTTGACATTTCTCTTTCTGTCCTGGTGTCTCCTTCCTAGGGAAGATGAACTCACTCAGACTCAGTAAAGAGTGTCAATTTTTTGAACTAAAGCCAATGAGAAGCCACTGAAGTGTTTTGCACCAGGATAAACATGATAAAAACATTATAGAAAGAGTACTTTGGCCATCGTGCAGAGGACCAATTCAGAAAGAATGAGATGCGAGGCAATGAGACCCATGACAGATAAGAAAAAAAATGAGGACTTTAGATGGGGCAATATCAGAGGGCAGAGGGGCAAAGAAGTTAGAAGAGAGACAATAGAGGTAGAAATAAGAGTCTTTGCTGATCACTGGTTGTCCACTACAGCAGAGGGGGACAGTCAAGGTGATGGGTGCTTCTAACTGTCAAGCAGGACCACATTCCCAGTCTGGAGGAACTCTTGGGAGGTGGCTTGCTCTTGGGTAATCCTCCTGTGAAGGTGAAAGTGTTAGTCACTCAGTCATGTCTGACTCTATGTGACCCCATGGACTGTAGCCCGCCAGGCCCCTCTGTCCATAAAATTCTACAGGCAAAAATACTGAAGTGCATAGCCATTCCCTTCTCCAGGGAATCTTTATGGCCCATGAATCAAACCTGGATCTCCAGCATTATAGGTGGACTCTTTACTGTCTGAGGCATCAGGGCAGCTGATGTGAAATGTAGCAAAAACAGGACATTGGCTATGCTCTTTCTGCTCTGATTCCCTTCCACTGGGATAGACTCTGGAAGAGGAGACACTGATGGGGGTCCATAGAGGGTGAGCTGAAGACTGGCAAACTCAGACCTCTGCTGGGTGAGCACCACTCTTGGCAGGAAGAGATATACTTTGAAGCCGTGGCAGTGGTCTCAGCCTTTCCAACAAAAGGTGCTTCAAGGTTGAAGGACTCTCTATTCATCGCCTAGGTCTGCCATAACAAAGGACCCCGAATGAGGTGGCTTAGAGCAACAGAAATGTAAGTTCCCACAGTCTGTAAGTTAGAAGTCTGAAATCAAGGTGTTGGCAGGGCCGTTCTCTCCTCACTGAAGACTGAAGGGAAGAATTTCTTCCTTATTTCTCCCCAGCTTCTGGCGGCGGCCAGCAGCCCTTGGCTTGCCGCTCCATGACCCCAATCTCTGCCTCCGTCATCACCCGGGGCTCTCCTTGTGAGTCTTTACATCTCCTTCCTTTTGAGGCTCTTCTCTTCTCACAAGGGTGCCAGGCATATTGTATGAAGGGCCCATTTTAACTGGGGTCTCATGATGAGGTTAAGATGACCTCATCTTATTACATCACTACGGACTCTATTTCCAAAGAAGTTTACATTCTGAGGTTCCAGAAGGACCTGAATTGTTTTAGGGGGACAGTGTTCAACTCAGCTCAGAAGCCCCAGGTAGAAGTTTACCAAGACGCTTTACCCTTCACTGTGCTACTTGGAAACCCCATTGTTATCTTATGAGATTGTGAAAACTACTTTTAACAAGTGTAACTAGATCTAACATCTGGTTTTCACTACAATTCCTTCCCATGCCATCAGTGCCAGCTCCTGTGTCTTTGTGACCACACTGGGCCCACCCAAACATTTCTGTTGAGGTGCAGAAAGGCTGGGTCAGTTACAGCCAGCTAAACAGGGCTCTCTTTCAGGTATCAGCTCACATGGCAGAGGATCTGCCCTATTTAGACTTTCTCTCAAGATTTCCATCACTTTTCTTCCCCCCCCAACCTTAGCCAAGGCCTAGGGGGCTGGGAGTGTTAGGTTAACTGTCCAATTTCCTTTCTGCTACTTGGATATTTATTTCCTTTCCCTGTTGTTCGACAGCATCTGTCTTACATGATCAAGCTTTGGTATTTTGCTATGAATGAAATGGAAAACTTTGATAATTTAGAGAATAATTCTCCATTTTTTTTCTTTACTTCTGATAAATCTGAACATCAAGATTATTGTCTTTTAAAGAACTTGAAACAATCTGGATTTGACTCAAAATTAAGCTATAATCCCTTTGTTATCGGTAGTATCAGTCCTTGAGGAAGGCACTGGTCCAGTGACTGTAGCATCCAGTCTTTAACAACCTTTTCCTCTGTCTCCATTTAAGGGCCAGGTGAGCCAGCTACTCATCTTCCCTCTGTGCCTTGTAGCCTCAGGTAGCCAAGGACTCAGTTTTTCCACATAGGCAGAAGACTGCTGGGGTAGTGTAGGAAAGTTTTTGGTTTTCTTTGTAGGAAAGAAAGATGTGGCTAGCACCTCTTCCCCACTTCCTTCCTGAATTAAATTAAGGATGATACACTGAATGCTGGAGCTGCAGTTTGGGAAATTCAAAGGAGAGGTCAACAGGATGCTATTGAACCAAGGTGTTCCAGCATCTACCTCCAACTTCTTAAGTTAGAAAAGGCAACCTCTAAGCTTCAAGTCACAGAAAATGAGAAGTGCAGTAGATGAATTCTGAAGTCTTCTTGCCAAAGCAACAAATACAATGGATGTAATTCATGAGGGCCTCCAAACAAAAGGACATGATGAAAGCTACTTTTGTTTCACATCTCCAAAATATACCCACACTCTTATCATTCAGAAATAGGTGCCTTAGTCAAGACTGATTTTGAAAATTTGGTATGAATGTAAATGGGATACAGAAAATGTAGACAGAATAAAAATATGTTAGGACAGGATAGTCAATTGGGAAGTGAAATTTGAAGTTTTGAGTCTCTACAAGTGGAACGCCGTATTTACTTTGGGGACAAGGTTCTTCTCTCTTTGCTTTAGGATAAATTATCAGAATGGATCTCACTTAACACTGGGACTCCCCGAGGTAAGCATTATATTTTAAAAAACACAAATTAAATAGGCCCTTTAGTAATGCAAATGTGAAGCTCATGCCTCCCCTTTGTCTTGGGACAGCATGAAGCTACTAGGAACCTGCAGGCAGCTGTTACATTTGGGATCAGAAATTGTGTCTTTAAGTTGGAATTGTGTTTGGAAGCTGCTTTCTCACTTTATTTTTTCCTTTCTCTTATAAAATTGTTGCAGTAAATGAGTAGGAAGGAGAGGCAGAAGGCCCTAGGCAGACCCAGGGGCTTACAGCCCTGCTATCTAAGTGTAGCCCAGAGCTGGCAAGGGGGCTTTCATGTCACCTCTGGGCAGACCCTGGTGCTGATCCAACATAACTGGGAGTGGCATCTTCAGAGCAACGGGAGAGAGCACTTGTGACAGAGACTCAAGTGTTTTGAAGAAACATAACGTCTGATAGCAGCAATAAAGAGGCTCTTTTAGCTGACTTTAAGAAGAGGAAGAACATGGTCCCTGGTCTCACTGTGGCAGGAAGACGTCATGAGCACAAACCAGTGGGAGGCTTTGGAGCTCCCAGAAACAACAGGGGACACGGTGCAGGGTAGATTGGTGTCTGGCAGCCACACTGCTAGAGTCTTTATGACTTGGAATATTATTATCATGATGACCTTGCTTTTTGTTGCAGGGATATACCTATTACAAAAGCATTTAGAAAACAGTAACAATATTTAAAAAATCTCTCAAGGTGCATTGCAGCAGTATTCCCAATTTGTGTTGCCGCTTTATAAGCACATATTTTGCACGTGTAACATTGCACTTCCTTTCTTCTAGATCAGCCACCAGCTAGCCAACTCTTAGCTGGGCCCAGCTAAGTTCAGGAAAGTCATCTAGTCAATCCCAGATGACCCAGGCACACAACAGATAAACAACTACTACTGTATGCTACTGAGATAGAGGTTATTGTGTTAGGTAGCACTGCTGCTGCAATTAATAACTAATACATTCTTTAAAAAGTGAATGATATTGAGGATGTCGTACAGTATCTGAATTTCAGTGTTGTACTTTTAGAATCTATAAAATGGGCAGTGTGCTTTGATTATTAAATACAATAGCTCAGCATGTAAGATATTATTTCTTATAAATACTGAAGACTGATTATGTTAATTTTAAGATCTCATTACGGGATAGACTTCTGTGTTTCTGCCCCAGGGATCACTTTCTAGTAAATGATTCTGCATCTCAAGCCTCAGGGACATGGGTGTACATGGCTTTGCTACAGTCCATTCCCAGCTTCAGATGGTGACACTCTTGGAGAGTTTCTTGAATGGACTTCTAGAGCAAACTGAGTGTTTGTAGAACTGGTCACACAGATAAGTAAGGGAAAGGAGCGAGGAGGCAAAGCATCACTGTCTTGATGTTCATTTGGAAAGGATATTATGGAAATGGTGATCAAGAAGATGAATAGCAGAGATGCCATATTCTTCAGAGCTGGGGTGAACCAAGCCAAAACCTGGGCTCCGTCCTTGGCAGCTATGGGATGTAGGCAGGCTTCCTAATCTCAGGGAACCTTGGTTTTTCTACCCAATAAATAAGAATGAAATTTGCATCTTGTAGAGTTGCTGAGAATTTTAAAGGAAATGCACGCATTTGAGGCCTCTGGGATAGAGTCAGTACTCTTGCAAGGGAATGTTGGGAACCTTGGCCTTTTCATTTGGACTTGGAGTACAAGGACTTGGAGGACATGGGGCCAACTGACAACATCAGCAGTTTCAGGCATTAAGTTGTGAGGGGGAATTTGCATAAGGAAAGCAGCAAAGAAGTTAATCTTAGTGTGTGTGTCAGTTTCAATGCACTGGAGTATTATCATTATTATTATTATTATTTTTGTATTACATTGCACTATATTTAGGTATGAGGTGGCCTGGAAAAAAATCTGGAATTTATTTTTAAATGTTCAGAACAATGAGATGACTGGTGTTCTATATATAAGCATCACATTGCCAAACACATGAAAATCTTACTCAGTTGTGAGCTTTTCACAAATCTGTCATTATGTACCTGTCTGACCCTGCTGTAAGTGACTTTGCAGGTGAGACTATGAATGTTAAAAATGATATTTTACATTCGCATAGTACTTAATAACTTAAACACCCTTTCCCATATTATTTTAAATGTTTTCAACAACTCTGTATGGTAGTGCTCGTCATGCTAAGTCACTCCAGTCGTGTCCAGCTCTCTGTGACTCTATGGGGTGTAGCCTGCCAGGCTCCTCTGTCCACAGGATTCTCCAGGCAAGAATACTGAAGTGGGTTTCCATGCCCTCTTCCAGTACAGTAGCTATCCTCAATTTGATGAAAATGAGACTGTTTTTGAGTGGTCAAGTGGCATGCCCAAAGTTAAAAAACAATGACTGGATCCTGCTCTAACCTGCAAGGTTGGTAGTACTGTGAGACATCCATTGAGATATTTTATGTGCCAGGTGCCTTGCTAAGTTTTTTACTTTCAACTTTTTATTTCCCTGGTGGCTCAGATGGTAACAAATCTGCTGGCCATGCAGGAGACCTGGGTTCTGTCCCTGGGTGGGGAAGATCCCCTGGAGAAAGGAATGGCAACCCACTCCAGTATTCTTGCCCGGAGAATCCTCATGGATAGAGGAGCCTGGCAAGTTACCGTCCATGGGGTCACAAAGACTTGGCCATGGCTGAGCAACTAACACTTTCTACTAATCACAAAACCTTCTGTGGCAGACTAACTGGTTACCTTCTCAGGAGTCAGTGAAATACCCTCTAGCTTGCTCATGGAACTCACATTTTTTTTTCATATCTAAGCTGAGATGTGCTTAATGAAGGGGACTGTAATCCTAGCCCTAGAGAATAACCTGTGGTTAATCTAAACCAATCACAGCAACCCTAGTCTCTTTAGCCAAGGCCCAAATCAGCTGGGACAGCTGGTCAACCTGGCAGTTGTCCCACCTGTGTAGTGATGGGCATCTGACCCAGGTTGGCCAAAGAAATGAACGAGAAGTTTGCTGGAGACTTCTGTTAAAGATTCTTTCACTCTGCCCTGATAAAAAGACTAATGCATAAGGAGAATGCCCAACACTTTCTTTCCTGCTTTTGGGTATTGTTATATGAGGATTTGATGGTGGAGCCAACGCACCACTTCAACCACAAAGAAAAATCAGAGTGAAGCAAAAGAAAACAGAGAAGCTGACCCAGAATCCAGATATCCTTGAGCAGCCTGGTTAATCAAACTGGAAAAGCTTCCTTTTTGGAGTTAAGTGAGATAATGAGTCTTTTAAATTGTTGAAATCACATTCAGTCATTCTATCAACTGCTTTCGAAATCATTTCTAGTTGATACCTTCTCACAAAGAAACTAAGGAATAAAGAATTTCTGTTGTCCAAGGCCAAGTATCAGATTTGGGATTTGGCTTTAAAGCATCTGATGTTGGAATCGCCCTCCTAACACATGCTGCAGGGCTGCCTGCCCTCCACCCAGGTCTCTCCTGCTTCCTATCAATCTGTACAATGGAGGGAACTGAAGGACAAAGAAGGGTCAGAGGTGCACGTCCTTGGGACAATAGTGGACGTTTCCTGGGGAGGGAGGGCAATGCCTAATAGGTGGTGAACCATGAGATAAAATTCCCTACTTCACACATTGACCTGACAACGGTCTTCTTTATTTTGTGCATCTCAACACTGGAGAAAGCAACCTGGGGAGAAGGAAAGAGCAGAGGCCTGAGAAGGAAAACTTCTGATTTCAAGTTCTGGCTTCACCATCCAGAAGGAAAGAGCAGAGGCCTGAGAAGGAAAACTTCTGATTTCAAGTTCTGGCTTCACCATCCTGTAAAAGTAGCACCGTGGGCAAGTCCATTGATGTCTTTGAAACTCAGTTTTTTTAATCCATCAAATGAGAACAGTAACCTCTGGCCTCTTTCCTTCCAGGGTTATGGTGAACATGACAAGAGAAAAGTCATGTGGAAATCTCTCTCCACTGCAGAGGATGAAAGATTCTTGTTATTAGAGAACATGTCCTCAGGGCAGACATAGTCTCCTCATGATCTACTGGAGAGACTAAGGATACGGATGGTCTTTAACACAAGCATTACAATCATGCTATTGCTTTTGATAAATTTATAATTTGTAGGTTGTAAATTCCAACATTCTCTCCTCTGAATGCCATCCTGAAGGTTAATGAATGAAATACATGATTTTCAAATCCCAACAGTTGGTGTTAATTGGAAGCAAACACATACCTTCAGGTTTGATCTCTCATAATAAGACAGTCAGACAACTTAACCTCAAAGCAGTTCATTACTACGCTTCTCAGAGCCCTAGGAAGATGGTAGACATTTCAAAGACTTTGGATGTCTGTATGCATGCCCCCACTCCTCTCTTTGCAAAAACAGTAAATTAGAAGGAAAAAAAAGGACCAAAGGAAACTTAGTAGACCTTGACAGAAGATTTTTAAATAACCTGAAAATATTAAATCCATAGGAATTAATTAGAAACAACTCAAGAGGCCAAGTGTTGCTGGAATTTGCCACATATCCATGCTGGGACATTTTGCAACCTTTAAAAAGCATGACCTGGAAGACAGGTCCTGGTACAGGACACTACAAACAGGATTAAGTTAAGAGATAAAGGTGAAATGGAATGCATAAACCTTATGAATCTATGGTAATAAAATGTTTCACATACACACACACACACACATACACGCACACATGCACACATACACACCCCCAGGGGTTACAGTTTGGCTTCCTGACAGAGAGGCCATCAAATTCAAAGTTACATAGAGGTGAACTACTTTTTAACTAAAATGTTGGATTTGCCTCCTTTTCTCCCAAAGTTATAGGATAAGCACATAATTTTCAAAATATATTTTATAATAATCTCGACTTATTCTGTGTCCTGCTTCACACAGGCAGTGTACTAAGCACAATATATACATTTACTTCATGTAGATTGTAACTACACTATGAAGAGAGCCTTGCTACCACTCCTGTATTACAGATGGGGAAACCAACCCTCACACAGTGAGGAAGCTGTCACAGACCTCCAGCTAGTAAGTGGTGGGGCCTGGCGTAGACCAACTCCAGAACCAGAGCTTCGCTCCCTGAATTTATGTCTTCCAGGCTAAGTTGCCAGTTTATATGTACTTGTATGAAATTAATTAAACTACAAGAGAAAATGGGGAGAGCAAGAGACTTTCCTCTTTGTTTAGTTACATAACACTTGAAATAAGACTGAAAGAGGGTACTGAGCCAAGAGCACTTGGTCTACTGAAAGTTTTTTATGTCTTCCTCATGTTGCCAGTTCCACCTCCTCAGTTTGAAACTCCCCATCTCTTGTTGAATGCTACTAGCAGAATCTCTAGTAGTAAGCTTTCTGCTTTCAGCGTCACCCTCTTTCAATCTGTCCTTGAGGGTCAGCTTTCAAATACATAGATGTCATCACTTCATGCCTCTGCATGAAATTCTGCCAAAATTCACCCTTCAGGAAGGTGCCCTCAGCCCTGGCACGCAGCGCAGGGCCTCTGTGACCCCGTGCTCTCTGCTCCGCTAGCTTTCCTCTTGCTTTTTTCTCTTACATCAGGGACTTTCAAGTGAGAAGTCCAAACTTTATAAAGTAACAAATCAGGTGGGTTATGACCAGTGTAAAAAACACAATACAAAATACAGGAGTGTTATTGCAAATTAAAAATTTGTCTTAATTTTATATATTTTGACATGCAAATCTTGACTTTGCTGCAACATCTATTTCTTATATTGTTTTAAAAAAAAGCTGCTAAGGTGCCATCACATGACACTTTCTACTGTTCTCAAAGTACTGCAGGATGTGTCTTTCCTTGAATCTCTGTCCTTTGTTTTCCCCACCTCAGTCTTTCCCATCAAGCACAATAGGTATAGTGTCTAGAAACCATGATACTTTTAGGGACTGACAAAAAAGTTTTAATTAGAGGAAGAAATTCAATATAATCTATCACAGATGATATTTGTCTTCATACCAATGAAATTATAAAATATAACATTTAATATCTTTTTTCATTTTTACAAAGGACAAAACTCGAGAAGACAAAAGTACCCAGGGACCATGAATGTTACACGGCAGCTCTGCCTCTGCCCTCTTGCTGGAAGGCCCATGGACCATATAGATACATAATGTTGTTCTTAGGAGTCTTCTCCAAGCATCATCTTCCCTGATAGCCCTTTTCTAGCATTTTAATTAAGGCACACGTGTTCATTTATGTACCTACTTTTCTCTTGCAATGGCTATTTTAGAGGTAAAATCTTAGCCAAAAAAAAAATAACATTTATCATATGCCCAATACAGTAGTAAGTGCTTTACTGCACTCATTCACTTTAGCCTCACACTATGGGGTAGATGCTATTATTTTCACCCTCATTTTACATTTGAGAATACAGAGACTAAGAGAGATTGAGTGTTCCTGTGTATAAGTTGCAGTGAGAGCTTAAACAGCCCTGCTAGCTCTGGAGCTTGGAGTGGCTCTGTTGGTGGGGTACAGAGGAGAGGAAGTCTTTTACTGTCTTTGTGATTCCAAGTTAGGGGATGTCAATTAGCCTAGACTGTATTAAAAAGCAGAGACATCACTTTGTCAACAAACGTCAAAACAGTCAAAGCTATGGTTTTTCCAGTAGTCATGTATGGATGTGAGAGTTGGACCATAAAGAAGGCTGAATGCCAAAGAATTGATGCTTTCAAACTGTGGTGTTGGAGAAGACTCTTGAGAGTCCTTTGGACAACAAGGAGATTAAACCAATCAATCGTAAAGGAAATCAACCCTGAATAGTCATTCGAAGGACTGGCGCTGAGGCTGAAGTTCCAATATTTTGGCCACCTAATGCAAAGAGTTGATTTATTGGAAAAGACTGATTCTGGGAAAGATTGAGGGCCAGAGGAGAAGGGGGCAACAGAGGATGAGATGGTTGAATGGCATCACTGATTCAATGGATATGAGTTTGAGCAAGTTCTGGGAGCTGGTGAAGGACAGGGAAGTCTGTGTACTGTAATTCATGGGGTCACAGAGTCAGATATGACAGCGATGGAACAACAACAACTATTAGTGTAACACCTTTGGATTTTTTCTATACCCTACTCACGTGTCTGGATTGTGGAATGACCATGCAATGCCTAGTTCAGCCACTCTCCTCCACCTCCTCTTCCTTTTGAATCACCTGTTTGCAGACATGTTCTCTGGTCTGTTCCCTACCATTCGGGAACCTTGAAAGGTCTCTGGCTGTTCAGTACCACTTTCACATGTCTGTTGTGAGATTTGTGTGGCTAACACACTACATCATGCCCTCACCTCCGCCCTCAGTTATGAAGGTAGCGCTTTAGTCAGTCTCTCCTGTGATTCCACACCAGGGCACAGTGGAGCACCAATAGTTATTTGGGCCCCTTGAAATATCAGCATGCTCCAAACCATAAGGCAGGATGATAACTCAGAGCAGGGTGTGATGAACTGTCTTGAAATGGTCAGGGAGGTTTTTAGAGAAGGGAGAATCTGAGTTGTTTAATATCAATCTCCATGGAGGAGAAAATGAACACTGGTCTGAGAGTAAAAAACTTCAGTTCAATAGTATACTGAGGTATACCGTGACTAGTTAAACATCACTCTCAATGGTGGCAGTGCATCTCCTTACATAAAATAACCACTTAAACTACTAGCTCATATTCTGTGAGCTAACATTTTACATGGCTTATTTCATTTAATCCTCAGAGGATCTCTTTGAGATAGTAAATATCCTTATTTCTTTTTACAGGTGAATTAACTAAGAATCAGAGGTATTAATTAGCCTGACCAAATCATCAGAGCTATTTAATGGTAAAACATTGATGGTAATTGAAGATTTAACCAAGTTTTTTGGTCTCCAATGCCAAAATCTTTACACCATTCATACAATCCTTTCCCTCATCACTGTGCTTTTTGTTGATACTTCTCTCCTACAGAGTATTCATCTCTAGATATTGTAATTATCTGATTTTTTTCTGCCTTTCCTATTAGAATGCAAGCTCTCTGAGGGCAGGAACTGTGTCCTGTTCTTTCTTTTATCTTCAGTTCTTATATATTCCATGTATTTAATCAAATTTTTCTTGAGTTTTGCTATCTGCTAGACACAGTATATAGCATGGGACATGCTCTGGAGAGCAAGATAAACCTCCCTACCCTACAGTGCTGATAGTTTTTCAGGGGAAACAGAAAACTCACAAGTTAAAAAAAAAAAGCAATTACAAACTCATAAAAGTACTGTGAGATAAGGAACCTATAATGGGATGGGGTGACGATTGTGGATTCCAAGACAAGACTTGAAGGATGAGAAAGGACCATGTCCAGGGAACAAACATCTTAAGAAGAATGAAAAGAATGAATGAAGGCTATGCTACTGCAAAGATCTTGATGGATGCTGGGAACAGGGTGAGTGGCAGATGAGATTCACACAGAGCCTTTGCAAGGACTTTGGGTTTTAGTCCAAGTGCAGTAGGTAAACACTAAAAATGATAAAGCAATGGGGATGAAGAAATGATGGTGGTGTCAAAATTCTTCTAAAGATAAGATGGCTAAAGCTTATCGATGGTTGGTGAAAGAGGAGTCAAGCCTGGTCTGAGGGAGGATTAGGGAGAATTTCTATCTTGAGCAACTGGGTGGCACCTTTTACTGGGATGGAAAAGACTATGGCCACAGAGGTTGGAGAAAAATCTTGGGAAAGATATTAGAATCAACTCATGCTTGAGATGACTATTAGAAATCCAAGTTAAGATATAAAAAAATGATAAATGACCAGCTTATTCTATTTTGCTAAATTCTTATCACTTGCTGGTGGACATGTTGGACACTTGGATGCAAAATGAAATATGCAGACTGTTCAAAGTAACAGACATACATGCCTTGAATGGTATTAAAAAAAAAATACACACAAAATGGTTAGATACTCATGGTGAAAATGTTCTATTATGCATCCATTATCTTTTTTGCACAAGGTTGCTCCAGGCTTTTACCACCAGTGTGAAAACTTAAATTTCACAATTTCCCAAAGTCATATTTATATACAGTGTTAATTAGCAATTAAACAGGTAAAATTAGCCTTTTCACTTCTGCCATATATGTATGTGTCTTATCT